ATATATATAATAGAGCTGGAACACTGATCAGAGCACACATGTATATATAATAGAGCTGGAACACTGATCAGAGCACACATGTATATATAATAGAGCTGGAACACTGGTCAGAGAAATCAGAGAACACACGTATATATAATAGAGCTGGAACACAGATCAGAGCACACACATACACACACACACACACACATATATATATATAATAGAGCTGGAACACTGATCAGAGCACACACACACACGTATATAATAGAGCTGGAACACTGGTCAGCACACACGTATATATAATAGAGCTGGAACACTGATCAGAGCACACACACACATGTATATAATAGAGCTGGAACACTGGTCAGCACACACACACACACACACACACACACACACACATGTGCGTGTATAGTAGAGCTGGAACACTGATCAGAGCACACACACAAGTGTATATAATAGAGCTGGAACGCTGGTCATCGCACACACACACACACACACACACACACACACACACGTGCGTATATAGTAGAGCTGGAACACTGATTAGGGCACACACAAGTATATGTATGTAATCAACCTGGAACACTGACACTAAGACTACTTGTATATATTTTATGTTACACTTTATTTTTACCTTAGACACGGCACAGTAAATTGCTTTTATAGGAAATTTAAAGAATAAAAGAACCATCACTTTACTCTCCGTGAACATGTAAAAAGGACAGGAGCAAGTGTAAACAGCTATCACTGTAGATAAAGGAGAGACATGGAATAGAACCTACCTGTGGGTGATTCTGCTGACTAAGCTGCTCAACTTGGGATTTAAATAATTTATTTTCATCTTGTACCTCCTATCAACAAAAATTAAACATGAATACCTATATAAGCTTTTAAAATGTCATACGGTTGAGGAAATTTCCACAATAGTAACAATTATAAAAAGATGGAAAGGGCCACATTAAAACATGCTACTAAATTTCAGTAATTGTGTTTAGTTCTAGTCTTGGAAGGGATGTTTCAGTGGAGTGAGCTGACCCAACACGGTTAGGAATCTAGTGGAGGGTGGCATGCATCTGGCGGGCAGGGTTCAAGCCTCACACCGCAGCCTTGGTCTAGGCTCCTCCATCATCTAGTAAGATGAACAGGCTCAGCGACAACCTGAGGTGGCTGCTCCTACTATCAAATAAACACCCTGGGGAGCACAGCCACTGCATCCTGACGGGGAGTAACAGCACAGGTGACTTCCTCTCCTGAGGTTAGAATGCTGTTCTCACCACTCAGTGAGGTAAATTACATATGAACTAAAAATATAAGATTAAACTTATTAAAAGGAAATACAAAAGTGTTTATAATCACAAAATGAGAGGACTTTCTTCTTGTGACTTAAAACAGGAAACTGCTTATATTGAATATACAAAATTCTCAATTTTTGGAAGAGGGGGTGAGAATCAGAGGAAATGTAACCATACATAATAACAAAACATTCATTTTCCATATTACATAAAGATCCTAAAAATCAGTTGTTTTTTTTTAAAGTCATCCCAAAGAAAAACTGTAGAACAAAATTTAAAGAGCACTGAGTATACAAATGGCTTAAACATACTAAGAAATCTCAACTTCTCTGTATAAAGCAATTTAAAATGATCCCTCTTCTCAGATAGGACATCACATCTACACCTTCTGCCAACTTCGAACATGAAGGGGAAACAGTGCTGTCAGCAAGAGTGTAGATTAAGTAAGAACACGGACAAGGAGCGCTTCAGCATGGCCTAAGAAAACTAAACCTAAGTGTCCTGAGGAGAGAGGGGGTGACAGAACAAAGGCTCGCCCTAGAGCGTGAAGCAGGCGCTTCAAGGTACTCCAGGCTGCTATCAATTTGCTGCCCTTCAGACTAATGTCCTGAATGAATTACACTGAATAGTAATTACATGAAAGTGAGAACTGAGCTTCTCTTTAAACTATGAATCTCTCTGAAAACAAAGCAAACTTGCTTAAGCCATTAACACAAATTTTTACTTCTAGAAAGTATAAGACAAATAGTATTCAAAATCTGTATGCAAGATAGCCACTCAAGTATAGTTTGTAACAGGAGAACAACCCTAAACTCCAGGTACCCTTATCAGCTGGGATTGCCTATACAGTACAATACATAAACCCATTAAAGGTCAAGGGCAGCTGGACATGGTGACTCACACCTTTAATTCCAACACTCCAGCTCAGATGCAGGAGGACTACAAGTCAGAGGTAGCAATTGCAAGGCCAGGCTGAGAAACATAACTTGACACTGTCTCAAAAAACTTTTAAAATCAAAAGCTAGTGATGTAGGTAAGCGATAGAGCATTTGTCTTGCATGTACAAAGCCTTGGGTTCCTTGGATTTGATCAACACAAAACAAAACAAACTGTTAAAAAGCAGAGGAAGGCACTCTATGAAACTGAGAACTTTCTCAAAAGACAGAACCAGCCCCCAGAGCACTCAGCTTTGATGGACAAGCCTCACAACCTGAACAACCAAAAATAACAACACACACTTACCTGTAACAGTTTTGATTTGTTGGAAAGATCACTCTCTGTGTCTTTTAATATAGCTTCTATTCTCTTAATTTCGTTTTCCTTTTCTTTTAAACTAGAATTTTTACAAAGATCTTACGTTAGTTATGTACATGGAAAAGAAAAAACAGATTCTGCTGTCACCCCTGAGAAAATGCAAGCAATGCCTACCAGCCACTGCTTTCTGTACCCTATCTACTTACAGTTTGTTTTAAAGATGGTATTTCCAAGCTCATTCTACTTCCTAGTCAAGAACAATCTAAAACAACATATTTTACTCTAACACTTCTTAAGTAAATATGGCATTACATAAGAGAAAGCTAAAATAAATGCTAAGTGCAAAACAGCATTTCAGCTACTTACTATAAAAACCACTACTTAAAAAAAAATGAAAGG